AAAAAAAAAAAAAAAAAAAAAAAGAGTGAATGAATAGCAAATGTTTTTTATAAATTTAATGAAAAACATAAACCCCCAAATCCAAGAAGTTCAACAAACTCTAAGTAGAAGAAAGAGAAAACCACACTAAGGCACATTGTAATTAAATTGCTAAAGACCACTGATAAAGAGAAAATTGTAAACGTTGTCAGGAAAAGAAAACCCCAGAAGGCATAGAGGAGCAAACAAAGGTAGGAATTGTTAAAAAAAAAGCTCACTTTCGGCCGAGGTGGCTCAAGCCTGTAATCCCAGCACTTTGGGAGGCCGAGGCGGGTGGATCACGAGGTCAAGAGATCGAGACCATCCTGGTCAACATGGTGAAACCCCGACTCTACTAAAAATACAAAAAATTAGCTGGGCATGGTGGCACGTGCCTGTATTCCCAGCGAGTCAGGAGGCTGAGGCAGGAGAAGTGCCTGAACCCAGGAGGCGGAGGTTGCCGTGAGCCGAGATCGCGCCATTGGACTCCAGCCTTGGTAACAAGAGCGAAACTCCGTCTCAAAAAAAAAAAAAGTTCACTTTGAATGAAGAGATGTTCCAAACAGGCTTTGTGTGAGCAGCATGGCTGTTTATTCACCTGGGTGCAGGTGGGCTAAGGCCGAAAAGGGCATTAGCAAAGGGCAGTAGGATAGGAGTTGGTTTTATAGGTTTGGGTAGTTTTTTGGGGAGTGGGGGTGTTGCAGAGTAAGTTTAGTTACAGAGGTGGGGGGTAGGGGCAAGGAGTATACAAGTCCAGTTACAACGGCAGGTATTTACATTTTCATAAGAACAGTTAAGATGGCAGGGTTGGGTGAAGGGCTTGTGGGAAGCTCCACTGGGTGATTAGGGACAATGGCGAACGCAGGCAGGGGGTGGAAGACTTCAGCAGAGGCAAGCAGGACTTAACTTTCAGGCTCCAGGCTTGCATATGGAGACCTAACAGGAGTGACGTCAGACTTCTCATCAGAAACCATGAGGCTAGTGATGATGGAACCAGCAGTTTTAAACTGCTGAAGAAAAAAATGATCAACTTAGAATTTTTTGTCTATCAAAAATATCTTTTAAGTGTAAATATTTTTTGTTTGTTTTGACATTTCTGTTCTCCTATTTTCTTCTTTTTTTTAAATCATATATATATATATATATATATATATATATATATATATTTTTTTTTTTTTTAAGATGGGGTATCTCCATGATGGCGAGGCTGGTCTTGAACTCCTGACCTCAGGTGATCCACCCACCTTGGCCTGCCAAAGTGCTAGGATTACAGGGTTGAGCCACCGCGCCCAGCCTTCTTCTTTTTTTTTAAATACAAATATTTTTAAAGAGCTGAATTTATCACCAGCAGACATGCTGTGTCAAATGTCAGAGTTTTTCAAGCAGAAGGAAAGTGACATCAGACAGAAATTTAGACCTATACAGGAGAATGAAGAGCACTGAAAATGGCAAATAAGTGAAAAATATAAAATGTTTCTTTTTATTAAAAAAAATACCTTTGGCCAGGTTCAGTGGCTCACGCCTGTAATCCCAGCACCTTGGGAGGCTGAGGCAGGCGGATCACTTGAGGTCAGGAGTTCAAGACCAGCATGGCCAACATGACAAAACCCTGTCTCTACCAAAAATACAAAAATTAGCCAGGTGTGGAGGCAAGCGCCTGTAATCCCAGCTACTCAGGAGGCTGAGGCAGGAGAATTGCTCCAGTCCCTGTATGAGGAGGGAGTGAGAAAAGAAGACAAAGACAAGAGCAGAATTTCACAGTGTGGGTCCAGGGGCACTCTAGCTTGGGGTGAACTTGGCGCTGAGCTCTGGGCTCCACACGCTTTTATTAGGTGCATTATGTTGTTAATCTTGGCAAATGTGGTTCTTCTAAGAAATGCTAACTTAGAACACTGAGTTTTACCACCCATTGTTTATCAAGGTTCATCTGTAAAGAGGCACAGCTGATAAGGCGCCATAAGGTCTGACCACACACAATGCATCAAGGGGCTTTTATCTCCCAAGCATTGTGGACACAGAGCAATCAGAATTACTGCATATTCTGAGAACATAGGCAGAGCCTGTGGCTGTTGTGTTCCAGTTGTCTCGGCCCTGAAAGGCTTTCCGGATCTGCAAGCTGCCATCTGTAAGTCCCTCCCGGG